TGACTCTCTGGAGAGTAATCAGTGACTTGCACTGGTGTTTCATACTGAATACCAAGAAACCTAACTGAGGTATGTGCATAATCTCTCTGTGATTGCCCAGTCATATGGTACTGTTCCTTTGGGATTAAAATGGGAAGGCTCCTTCTCCTTCCTAATGCTGCTATGCTCCATTTGCCTAAAGGTTGCCCATGTTAGTGGATAGTAAAGTGCAGGACATACTCATGATAAAAAATATTTATGAGACGACAGAGGAACAGGTATATGCTCCACCATGCTCGTCAAACACTGTTCACCAAATTCTCTGACATGGTGTATATAATTTATAGGCTTGCCTCATTACTGAGCTACTTGCATGCATAGATGATTCTGCATGATTGGATAAATTGTTGGCATGAAATTTCCTTTCTCCTTTTTCAAACTATTGCTCTGTATGGTGTTACATTACTCTACATATTTGTCTGAGGTTCCTGTAATCTACTTTGGTCTAAACATGTTCTAATGGGTAATCCCTGGCAGCGGCATTTTTTGTTAAATGTGTCTTCGTTTGGAAAATTAAATATAAGCATTGGGAGGAAACCCCCCCCCCCAATAATTTTAAAGCTAGAAATGGTTTAAAAATGGATTTTTGTTTTCAGAGCCATTTTAAGTATAGGGAAGTAAGAGTATTGTATAAGTCATGCTGTGTTGGTATTTCCTTTTAACCATAATGTTTACTACCCCTAATCTATAAGTGATTGCACAATAACTTACAACCAGTATATACCACATAGAAGCATTCTAACCAAATTTTAATTATACTTAAAACTGATGTTTCTAAATTAGTATCATACTAACTTTGAGATTTTTCATCACTAACAAGTCACATTCACCAAATTACAAAACATCTCTTTAGAGTCTACGCACTTGCTGTCAGTAAGAGGTGCAAATTTTCAATCTTCTCCAACTGAAAACAGCTGCTGACTAGTATTGTTAGGTACTTATTAGGTTCTAAATTTTATTTGAAAACTAAATAAGGAGGGAATTCCTAACATTGACAAGTACTGCCCAGAATACAAGGAACAATGGTTAAATGAGAAAATCTAGCATAATCAGACTAAAGCTATTTGGAAGAGTTAGAAACTTTAAGAAGTAACTCTTTAAACGTAATAGCATATAAAAGCCAAATTACCCATAAATCTATGCAGAGTGCATCTGTCTCTCCTGGATTAAAAGAGCTATAATATTCTCTTTATAATACAAAACTGTTCCAACAACTGGTAGCATCAAGTTGTGCTCAGGTGGAATTTTGGAAGAGAAATGAACCCTCTGATAATATTTTATGGGTCAGAGTATGGGATATGCTCAAAATGAAAAGCTCATGGATGGTCTGAGACATTGCACAGAAGTGTTTGGAGGAGCAGGGTCTTAGATTGCAAGTCTTTTATGGCAAGAGCATTTATTAAATGTACGTAATTCATTTTGAGAGACATCACTCAGTTTGTCTCAAAGGTATTTATGTTTCACATAACTTTAGAATGCCTCACTTTTATTGATAATTCATAATTATTTTTGTTAGAAATAAAGAAGTTGAAGTTATAGGATTTATTTACACTAAAGGAATGAATCCCACTGAATCTGAAGTTTCCTGAAGCTATAATCATTCTAAACAGTGTCTTGATATTTATAGACCTTTTAAATCCCTAGAATAACTTTTGTTATTATATTTGTTATTATATTATATTTAAATCCCTAGAATAACTTTTGTTATTATATATATTATATTATATATAAATTTTCTTAATTTGTATATATAGTTTTATCTTGTCTACATAAAATGTCATGAGGAGCTGTAGGCTAACTATTTTCTTTTAATCTGGGGCTACATTGTTTGGTTTGGGATGGCGAATACCATAAGTAAAACAAAATTTTACACTGAAACTAAAACTGACTATACTAGATGTTGCATGGGAACAACAGCCACAGGGAATTTCCCACACCCATCTATTATTCCAGCTGCATTATTAGATACATTAGGCAATTCACAACAAACATTGCTAAAGAGTAATCTGCACTAAACAAAGGGTATGGTAATCTCATGCATAAGGCAAGTGCCTGAAAGAGTTCATGAAGGAAAAAAAAGGAGGCCATCACTGGGAAATTACCATCTTGTGATAACATTAATTAAGATAAAGATGCATTGCTGGATACTGGGTAGGAACTCTCAGTAGTTCATGTGGGATGAGAAACTTGTGTACAGGTACCACTGTTGTGACACTATGCTGATGAGTCAAGAGGTACTTTGATTCAAAGTCTCTATTTTTGATTTTGGGGGCTGAAGTTTGTCATACTTGATTCTATCCCAAAGGTGAGTTGTTTTGAAGAAAATGACTTATATGAGCATGAGAAAATGATAGTGGTTTTATGGTTTTGAAAAAATATGTAAGACCTCTTCCCCTCTGACGGTTCCAATGCTTTTATTTAAAAGTTTAAAATTTGGCATAGTTGTTCTCAGTTCGGTATGTGTGCTTTATTAAACTGAGAAGGAGGGGATTATCCGAGAAAAATATACGAGCAATAAGTGAGTGAAAGTAGCCTAATGCATTATTGTTCTAATAAGTGTACAAGTTTCTATATTTGGATAATTGAACATGATAGAAAAATATTATATATATGAAAATATTCAAATAAACAGTTGAAGGCATAGTCAAACTTATGTGCATTTATTTAAATATGATCATCTGCACTTAATTCTCAGCTACACTACTCTCACCCAAAACCCGTCATTGAACTGAATGTGGTAACTGAATGTGTCTTGAACTGGAGTGGTAATTGATCTAATGATCAATCTCAGGGGAATGGCAACGGTATATAAAACTTTACACTTCTAGGGGCTTGTCTTCATGTACAGTGCTACAGGGGTGTAGCTGTAACGCTTTAGTGAAGATGCTACTATGCTGATGGAAGAGCTTCTCTCATTGGTGTAGTTAAACCACCTCCACGAGAGGCGTAGTTATGTCCATACCCCAGAGCCACAAGATTTTCCCCCCCACCCCTGAGCAATGTAGTTATACAGACATAGGTCTTTAGTTGTGTAGATATGGCCTAGGTGTAGGCTGTTAGCAACCAGAAATCATTACTATCTGAGGGCTTTTCAGTACCCTACATAAAGTGTTTGGGTTTAGTCCAATTCTTAATAGGCACATATTTATATACAAAAAGAAAAGGAGTCCTTGTGGCACCTTAGAGACTAACAAATTTATTTGAGCATAAGCTTAAGTGAGCTGTAGCTTACGAAAGCTTATGCTCAAATAAATTTGTTAGTCTCTAAGGTGCCACAAGTACTCCTTTTCTTTTTGCGATTACAGACTAACACGGCTGCTACTCTGAAACATATTAATATACAGAATCACAATTCCTACTGGCACATTTGCAGTCCCACTGCAGTGGCCAAGGATTAAATGGGCATGAAAACGTCATCCTTAGAAGTGGTCCCTTCAGAACAAGATTAAGGAACATAAAGGGACCAGCATGTGGAAGTCTGCCCTCCTGTTACTAGTTCTCTCTGTCCTGTGGCTCAGCAGAACTTCAGACTCCAGAGTTGTCAATCTGGCATCTTACATAAGCAACAGATTCACTAAAACGTTTAAAAACAACTAAGGCTAAAAAATGCAAAAACAGTTACTACTGCATATTGTTGAGATTTAACATGCACAGAAAGAAAAGGAGTACTTGTGGCACCTTAGAGACTAACCAATTTATTTGAGCATGAGCTTTCATGAGCTACAGCTCACTTCATCGGATGCATACTGTGGAAAATACAGAAGATGTTTATATACATACAAACCATGAAAAAATGGGTATTTACCACTACAAAAGGTTTTCTCTCCCCCTACCCCATTCTCCTGCTGGTAATAGCTTATCTAAAGTGATCACTCTCCTTACAATAAGAAAAGGAGTACTTGTGGCACCTTAGAGACTAACCAATTTATTTGAGCATAAGCTTTTGTGAGCTACAGCTCACTTCATCAACTAAGTGAAGTAGCTCACGAAAGCTTGTGCTCAAATAAATTGGTTAGTCTCTAAGGTGCCACAAGTACTCCTTTTCTTTTTGAGAATACAGACTAACACAGCTGTTACCCTGAAACCTGTCAACATGCACAGATGAATAAATCATGTGACAACAAATCTGGTAGCCACATTTGACATACGCTTGCATGTTATAAAACATTGGGGGGAGGATAGCTCAGTGGTTTGAGCATTGGCCTACTAAACCCAGGGTTGTGAGTTCAATCCTTGAGGGGGCCATTTGGGATCAGGGGCAAAAACTGGGGGTTGGTCCTGCTTTGAGCAAGGGGCTGGACTAGATGACCTCCTGATGTCCCGGGACTTCCAACCCTAATATTCTATGATTAAAGTTAATAAGCAGCATTTTACTGAATATGTTATGTAGAGAGGGGTCAAATGTTTCAGTGGGAAATGCAACTCTGAATTTCCTAGTTTTGTACGGCAACATCCCAACTATAAGATGGTACTATTATTAGCATTTAACTCCTTTAATAGAACACACAAACATTTATTATCTTTTGGAAACTCCCCATGTGGCACTGTGCCCTTTTCTCCCTACTCCCCCATAAAATACTGGAGGTAAATTATACATTGGTGTGATAACTAACAAGGTTGTTATGAATGCAAGAGAACAAAAGCCTGGCACAGGACTGACTGTAATATGTGCAATTAATAAATTATGATGATGAGTTGCTTATACCGAAGGAAACAACTGTCATTCCAGAATCCAGATTGAGTTTGTCTAAACAACTAACACCTTCATTAAAAAGAATGAGCCACCGCACCTTTCACTGCATTAACTCTGCCAAAAAGTAGAATAAAATAGTTACACCTTTACCCTAGAAAAAACAGACAGCGAAACCACGTGGCGATTGCTTAATGAGGAAGAAAAAGGGCACCACCAATTAAGAGCTGTTGCTTTCTTATACACGGAACTGTAGCGTGCTAAAGGATACAGCTGCTGTAGCAGTGTGGGTGTAAAGAGCGAAACGGCGAAGTGAACGTTACGCTGACCTATGTCAAGCCTTTTCTCGGCTACTTGATTTCCTTTGCATCCTTCATTCCCCTCCCCCCTCCTCTTCGCCCTCGCCTCTCTCGCTTCTACCTTCTCGTTCCGCCGCTGCCGCTTCCCCACGCCCTTCCCCGCCCCCTCCCTCGCGTGTTCCTCGCTCCCTCCTCCCCCGTCCCTCGCGTGTTCCTCGTTCCCTCCCTCGCGTGTTCCTCGTTCCCCCCCCCCCCGTCCCTCGCGTGTTCCTCGCTCCCTCGCGTGTTCCTCGCTCCCTTCCCCCCCTCCCTCGCGTGTTCCTCGCTCCCTCCCCCCCCCCGCACGCTTCGCTCTCCCACTTCCCAGTTTCACGCAACGTAACTTGCTGAGGCCTCGCTCGCGGAGCGCAGTGATTGGCTGGGGATGGCCGCCCCTCTCGCGGCTCTGGCTCTGGATTGGCTGTGTCCCGCCGTCGCCGCTGGCACTCAGCCCCAGACTCGTTGTCTGGCTCGCCCCTCGCGGCCAGAGGGAGGGCGGGTGAGAGAGAGGCGCGTCCGCCCTTCCCTCCCGGCGGCGCTGCAGAGTCTCCCACTGGTTAGGCGGCGGTGCTGCTGCCGCCGCCGCCTCTTGTATCGCGGGTCCCCGGCGGCGTGGGCGGGAGGTGGCTCGGCTACTCGCGGTTCCCCTGCGGTCGCCCGGGCGTGGGGAGCGGGCAGAGGAAGGGGCAGGTGAGGAAGGAGCTTCTCGTTCTTCGCCTCGCGCCCCTGGCGGCGGTTGAGGGCGCGGGGCGGGCGGGGCTGGGCTGCATGCGGCAGTCGCTATAGGACAATAAAGCGGGCGGGGCGGGTTCGGCGCGCGGAGCTGGCCTAGTGCGGGGAGGAGGCAGCCTGGGCTGGGCGGCAGGGGGCGGTGGCGGAGCGGGCCGGGTGCGGGGGGCTGCTGGGTGGGCGCTGCCGACTCGCCGTCTGTGGCTGTGCCCGGGGCAGGAAGTGACTCTTCAACTTCAGCGTCTCGGCCGGGGGAATGTGACTCGCCTGGGATCGGCCAGCTGCTGAAACCGGGATCGGGGGTGCCGAGAAGCCGGCGCTGCTTCCCCCCTGCCCTAGCGCTGCTTCCCCCCTGCCCTAGCCCTGCCTCCCGGCCGAGAGCGACTGCATCCGCTCGGCCCACGGGAAGAAAACTTGGTTGGATTTAAAATTCTCCTGGGGGTAGAAAGGAGCCCCGCTGGCGTGGGGTGAAAGACAGCCGCGATCAAAGGTAAGCGGTGCAGAGGAGGTTCGGTTAAGAAGCCTTGCGCCGAGGGGAGGGGAAGGGAAAGAGCTGGCGTTTCATTCTGATATCCTGGTTTTGGCCTTTATTTTGCTTGCTGGATTGTGTTGTCTGCCTGAAATAAGCACGAGTCTCCTTTTGTTTCTTCCAATGCTGTTTGTGTGAGTGGGATCGTTATTTCCATGGAGGTTGCAACAAGAATCTGGTGAGATCGAAAGTTTTTAAGCTCCTCAAACACAGAAGTTTCTTTGTTCAGCAGGATGAGGTATTGAAGTGAAACTGCTTGGTTATGCGTTTGTGATTTTTTTTTTAAATCGTTCTCTTCAGAAAAAGTTACTAAGTCTGGCAGCTTGTTCCCTTCTCTGTGAATAAGCACTTCGAAAGGGTGCTACTCTTAAGCGTTTTACTTGAAAGAAGTCCAGAGGTTTTGGAGATCACTATATTTACTATTTTTCTTTACTCTTTCTGGGTGTTGGTTCCTTTCCTCTGGCCATCTGATATGTGCACCCTTTAAAAAGAAGTACTGGTCTTATTTTTTTTTTTTAAATGTTCATTTATTTCTTTGTAAATAAGGTTGCATTACTTTTTTTCTGCTCTTCAAGATGAAGAGTTTGACTATGTATTTAATTGAAGAAGAGTTAGTTTAATTTTTATTTTAATATCTGGGGCAGGATAACCAACACTTCATATAATACCTCTCCTTACAATATAAATTGATTTTTTTTCATATGCAAGAAATATGTCCTAAATTTAGAACCTGTAGAAGATTATCCTGATAACATCTATGTAGAAGAAAGGATGGAAAACAGCGTACTTTAATGTGAGTTACTGTAAGGACTGATTCTAAACATTGATATGGTATAATTTTGGTTAAAAAATTGGTAACAAAATTTTAGTATTCATTGCTTTCAATAAGACTTCTCATCAAAATCTGTTTGTAGGGGTAAGAAGATGCACAAGCTCAATTCAATGTGATATCCTTAACAAGATGTTTTCAGTATTGCATAATTGTGACTAGTGCATGTTACTTTGTGTCTTGACTAGCTGCATTGAACAAAAAACATATTTAACAAAGTTTCTACATGCTGGATCACAACTTGGTTTAAGTTGCTTCAAAGAGGCAATTACCAGATGTTGATTACATTGGGGTTCCAAAACTACCTGTGCTGAGAGAGACACTTCCTCTCCCCCAACCCGCATTTATGTAGAAAATCATTTATAAGTATACCTTTCCAAATAATGTATTAAAGGCCATAGCTTGGGACTGATTTGTGTTCCCCTTGGTAGAAGACAGTCTAAATTATTGTTCTTTTATAACAAATTGGATGTTGGTGTGTTTTCAGTTTTACTGATTGGATATGGTGTCTGATCAGTCTGGTATAGAAATATGGAACTGGCATGTCTGAGAAGTGTGTGCATCTGACAGTCAAATAAGTTCACTTGTGTGTGAACTTTTTATACTTACTGTATATGTATCTGTGTATTTTTCAAGGAAGTAAAATATCCAATGACCCAGATCAGATAAATAACAGTAGGCAGTTTTGTGTAGATATGAAACAATTTATTCATCTAGCACAGACTGCTGTAGTAGTAGTAGTAGTAGTCGTCTTTAGTGGAAAAATGACACATTTGTGTTGATACAAAATAGCTTTTTCAAGTGATAATGTACAAGTGATCAGGTTTATAATTTATAGACTTCACAGGCAACAGAAAAGGTTATTCTTGGGCATCTGAAAGAACTAAACAAAACAGATGACACTGAACTTCATCTTCCTTATATGGTTTATGCTTGGCAGTAACATAATGAAGTCTAAACAGAGTAATCCTTTTACAAAGAACGATCCTTTCCAAAGCAGTGCTTCATTTCCAATAGTGACTAGGTTCTATGGGGGGTGGGGGGGATGTAGTAACACATGACAAATTTAGTTGTAAACCACTGTATTCCTAATGGATGCAATTTTGTTTCTTTTCAGACTTTTTGTTTTTCTGATGATGCACTAGATAATTTTCAGTGCCATGTAGAAGAAAAGATCCTTGTATTTTGGGGCTGCGACTTTTTTAACTACAGTTTTGTCACTGTGGTAGCTACAAGGCCCTTCTTAAATGATGAAAGTGCAGTTCACTGCAACTTACAGCTAGTGGTTATGACACAGAATGGCATTCATTTCATTAACATAGTTTAGTATTAATTAGATAATTTATTCTTTTTTGCAGCCAGCAGTGTTTGAGACTAAAAAATTACATGGTAGTCAAATCTTTAAATTGTCATTTTTGATTAATTCATTTTATAAAATATTAAACCTGCTGGGTGGGTTGTGTGACTGTATATATGCTAACTGGTATTGTTTCATTCAGTGTCTTCAAAAATGTATTTGGTATCATATTGAAATCTTTTAACTTGGTGTGCTACTGCCACTTCCCCCCCACCTCAGTTGAGTTAAATATGTACAAACAAATATTGTCTTATAATATAGCTACTTAAAATTAAAATATCAAAAATATAATTATAGTGGTGTACAAAATCCAGCTGTGGGTAGCAGAATAGCCACAAGAACTTCGCTATTCATGTGTAAACACTTGTTATTTAAGTAGATATGTACAAATACTGTCTAATAGCATATCACATTCAAATAGAGCTGATTTAGGGACTTTTGGGGATGAAGAGCAATTTTCATTCAAGTATTCATAAAATGTGGTGGTGTGCAAACGTAAATGTATGGGTTTTTTTTCTTTAATGGCATTCATGCATAGTGTATGGCTTTAAGGTAAATGGCAATATTGAACTTTTCCCATGGGCTCAGAATATATTTATTACTTTTTTAGCAAGTTTGGGGAAGTTTGATATGATTACTTCCACTCAATTTAATGTAAATTGAATTTTTCTCACCTTTACAACTTTAAACCATTATTAGTTTACCTTCTTCTCTTTGAAAGTGAAACACTTCAGAAGAGAAAAGTTCCCTCTACTCAATGTGATGAGCATACTTCTGTAATTTTAGTTTGCTTATTTTATTTTAGTTTCTATTATATTAGTTTAGGTTACTTATGAATCTCTTGTTGCTTTTTGAGAATATTTACATTTATGAGAATATCAAGTGTAGGCTCTTCAGTGAGTTTCCCTTCTGGAATAAACTAATACTTTTGAGGGAAGGTTTGACAGTTATGGGAGGGAAAGCTTTTCTTATTGACCTGAAAGTAGCTCATACCCATGAGAGCATACTACTGTTAGTACAGACAGCTAACGTAGGTGCTTACAGGTGACGTGTTTGATTAAAATATGTTCTGTGTGGAAATTGCTATAAACACAGAGGTTCAGATGGAGTAATGTTGATGTTTTTGCATGGTTAAAACAGTTGAATTGATGATGATACAGTACTTGTCACAATAGAATGTAAATATTCAAACACAAGCAGAGTGTTCGGTTTATTTATAAAATGTATTCTAAATGATTGTGGGGGGTTTTTTTGTAGTATTTTTGGGATATCCTTTATCTCTATTTTTGTGCAATGTTTTTGCTTAGCAGTTACCTACTATTCAGCAATGTAAAATGTTTGTTTTATGATCCTTGATCTTTTCATATAGCTGGTTTTAACACTCTTGGTCTTCATTTAATCTCTTGTATGGTTTTATGTTTCTCTGGAGGTAGTGTAGAGGAATGCTATTTCAGCACTGAGTTGGTGTTTGCACTTTGCAGATGTAGGATGTGTACAATTGAGAGAAAGAGGTCTAAATGGAACTAAACTTTGTTTTTAACTCTAACAGAACCGTACTTCAGTTATGTTGGAGGACATCAGCATTGGAACGGGTTCTCAAATAAGCAAACTAATTTAATCTAGATCACATTTTCCTATTTATAATG